GAGGAAATTCGACTACCTCCGGAAAGGGATGTAGCTCCCGAGGGCATGTTAAGTATGGATTTAGTTTAGTGAAGGGAAAAGCAAATCATCCAATGGAGGATTACCATGTTGCTAAATTTGTCCAATTCCAAGGTCGTGAGTTGGGGCTTTTCGCCATATACGATGGCCATCTTGGAGATAGTGTGCCAGCTTACTTGCAAAAGCATTTATTTTCAAATATACTAGAGGAGGTTAGTTGCTACGTTCAAGTATTTTATTTCTTGGTATTTAATTTTCCATCACATATTCGAATGGAATTTCATTGGTGAAAGATTGTGGTTCATAATATTATGACAATTATAATAGAATCTCGACTGAGTTGTGAGTTGATCATGTGATTCACATATCTTATAAATGCTGCATTAACAATGTTTTTTCCAGATGAGTGTTGAGAGATCTCGTTAGGCACAACTTCATGCTGTTTAACTTTGAATCTGTGTTACTATCTAGCAATTAGGAAAATACCAATGTGCGTATTTCTTGATTTAAGTATAACTTATATAGATAAAGAACCTAGAAACCTGTTTTCTCTTATAGCCTTAGTCCAAACTGGATCTGAAATTCGGGCTTTATGTTTCTCTAAAATCGAAATTGACGACTAGGTATAATTCATATCTTGATTCTTGTGGATTCAGTTGCCTTTATTACTTGCAAAACAAGGAAATAATTCAATTGATACTAGACATGTATAATGAACATTCAAAACCTGGAAAAAAAAAAAGAATATAAAAAGGCAATGACAATTTGTTAACTGTCAGGAAAACATGTATACATGGAATAATCTTTACCAACTGCGATTAATTCGTAGATCCTATTTGTTGTATGTTTTGCCTAAGGGGATTGCTGTAATATTTGCCTTATGTAAGGGGGTGTTTGTACTTCATTTTGCATATGAAGGGGGCAAACGTAATACAAAATCAAACTTTAGGTGGATTTCAAACTTTCCAGAATCCTTTGTTTCCTTTTTCTTGATTTTTAAGCAAAGGTTTTGTCTTTAAGCAAAGATCATAATTTTCTTGGATTAAAATTACTCTTTATACAATTTCACACTTGACATTAACCATCGAAAGAAAAAAAAAATTAAATAAATAAAAACAAGCATTCGTTATTTTAATCACAGGAGGACTTTCTGAGAGACCCTAGCCGTGCTATTGCGAAAGCATACGAGACGACTGACCAAGCAATTCTCTCCCAGAGCCGTGACTTGGGCCGAGGTGGGTCCACAGCTGTGACCGCCATTCTCATAAACGCCCGCCATTTGTGGGTGGCCAACGTTGGGGACTCGCGGGCCGTGCTTTCCAAAAGGGGCCACGCTATAGAAATGACGGTTGATCACGAGCCCAATACCGAGAGAGGTAGCATTGAAGATAGAGGTGGATTTGTCTCAAATTTGCCAGGTAATATATTATTAAGTTACAATAATGATTTTAGAGTTAGCTCCATAAAGTCACCCATTTTAAATGCATACTAATACTACATCCACGGTGATTATTAACCTAAAATAGTTGAGAAGGGTCTCCTCTAACTTAGGCTGTGTAGGCTGTGTTTGGTAAGCATGTAAGCTAGCTTATAGCTTATTTGATTAGCTTATAAGTTTTCTGTATACAAATAAGTTTGATTCGGTAGGACGAGAGTTTTTAAAAAGCTCGAGCTTATCTCATAAGCTTCCTTGGATAGCTTTTTAAATAAGTTTATTGAATTTTTTATTTCAGCTAATTTTACCAAATACTTTTATCATATAAGCTAGCTTTTCAGCCATAAGTCATAAGCTAGCTTATTAGCTAGGTTTACCAAACATAGCCTTAAGCAGCACTTAGAGCTTAAATACGGCGAAAAATATTTGGGATTCAACTCGATCTCTTTCCTTCCTGTCTATCTTTTTTTGAGATAATTCGAAGTCCTAAATAAAATAACTATCGTGAGAAATATAACATGTACCAGGGGACGTTGCAAGAGTGAACGGGCAATTGGCAGTCTCGCGTGCCTTTGGTGATAAGAACTTGAAGACACACTTGTCCTCCGAGCCAGACATGACCAATGCCGAGATAGATGCCGACACTGATCTTCTTATTCTAGCTAGTGATGGTTTATGGAAGGTACCATACTAATTATTTATTTAAGCCGAGATTGATGCCGACACTTGTCCTCTAAGGCCGTGTTTGTATGTAAATATATCCGCTCAAAATGAGTTTTTTTGGTTAACCATGGTTGATTTAGAAAAAAAAAATGTGGTATGGTTAGTTGTTAGTGAAATTTTGAGTTTATATTAAAATAATATTTAAAATAAAATAATTAAGGTTGATTTGATATAAAAGTGTGAGAGAGATGATATGAGTGATGGTTAGTTAAAATTATATGAGTGAATGAGTAGTGAATTAAAGCTGATGTGAGGTGTAAAAATAATTGGTTGATATTATTTAATTATATTGATACTATTGAGGATAGTGAGGTTGAACTATAGTTAAGTTAGATTTTGAGTATAAATTGAGTGTGGATTGAGAAGATTCATATACAAACACACTTAATTTGCTTGTGGAAGCTTGCTTTTGCAGGTGATGTCTAGTCAGGAGGCTGTGGATTTTGTGAAGAAGATGAAGGATCCACACAAGGCAGCCAACCAACTGGTGATCGAGGCATTGAACAGAGACAGCAAGGATGATATCTCTTGCATAGTCGTACGTTTCTGATTATAAAATTACGGTTTTACCCCCGCCCGCAACTATTCGAGCTGTTGTTATTTTCTTTTTTATTTTATGGATGTTTTACTATTATTTTGATTCTTGTGCAGATTTTTCTCTCTTTTCTTCTTTCTTTTGTAATTTTCTAAGTTGGGATTGGCTTGGTTTGAGCAGTATTTTCTGTTTATGTAATGATCAACATAGGTTGAAGATATCTGTGGTATATATATATAAGATGCATGGAAGATTTTTGGGTGCTTTAATGATTAATCAGACAATGCTTTTGTTGGTGTGGAATTAAGTGTGATATATGTAATAAATAATTTTACATTGGTATAATTTTGGCTGTCATTTTTGATGCAATGGTTGGGTCACTAGTACTATTTTAAACATTTATATTAATTTATACGTTTGTATTATTTTAAAGTACTACAAAATCATGAATTTGTTATATTCGATAATTTATAAGTCAACTTACTCATTTTTTTTATTTTTTATTTTTTAATGTAAGTAACGAATGTTTGCATACTTGATGTTTTGATTTTTGAATGATAATTCATAATCATAATTTCTTTTTAAGTATAAATTTGCCAACATATATCGGACAAATATACCAAATTATTATCCTTAGTCATTTTGAGTAAAATAAATTTAATTTAAATTTAAATTCAAACTTTATTATTGTAAGTTCAAACATGAGAAGGACGTCTCCAAAAGTGGACCAACGTAAAGTTTTGGCATGTTTGTTTGCGGGGATGATATTTGGCTAATGGGTGTATTCAATTGGATTTTAAGTGACATTGTAAGATTTTTTAAGACTTAAAAATTTTTTATTAGATTTTTAGATTTTGAAAGAATTCTATGAATTCGTATGTCTTGAAGTAGAATTTGAAGGGAGATTTAGTATAAGGATTTTTGTTTAGAAATCACACGAAATCTTAAAAGGTCTTAACAAATTCTAGTGTCAAAAAAATTAAATAACTTAGGATTTTGTAAGACTTTTTAAAATGGGAAAATTTTCATTTATACTTACTGATTTTTAGATAATTGCAATATTACTATCCATACCAATTAAATTGTGTATATACCTAAAAGATAAATATTAATTATAATCATGTCTAAAATCAGTTGCAAGGTAAGTGGAACAACCTTCCATTTTCATAATCATGCCTAAAATCAGTTACAAGGTAAGTGGAACAACCTTCCATGTTCCTAGCGCGTAATTTCAGGAAATTGGGCAAAGAGTACGAAATTTCACGAAATCTTCGTCGCCTATATATATTGCTTTAACATATACTGCAAATATACTGTACATATACCCGTCGAACGTCTTCCTGTTAATGTCATGAGAAAATATACCGAGAATATACTGATAATATACCGTCGAACGTCTTCCTGTTAATGCCATGAGAAAATATACCGAAAAGATATTGATAATATACCGAAAATTTTTAACTATTACATACTATCGAACGTCTTCCTATTAATGTCATGAGAAAAAAAATGGAAAACAGTGAAACATGACTAAAAATATACTGAAAATAAACCATACAATTTTCATTGAACAATAAAAACAAGAAAAAACTACAAAGTATAGACTCAAAAAATCAACTGAACACAAACAAAATGATACAAATAAGCAATTCTCATTCCTCCTAAAAGACTAATAATATACTGAAGAAAATCAATCCGACCGAAACAAACATTCGTCAACAAAAAAATTTGCTAATATACTAAACATAAGCTTATTTTTTGGCAGGGACGCGGGTCATATACTGTACATATACTATACATATACTGTACATATACTCTAATCCAAAAATTTGTCCAAAAACAAAAATAAAAACATATACTATACATATACTATAGTTATACTGAACATATACTCCAAAATAATCAAACGAAAAAATTCTCAAAAAAGATGTCATGATTTTCTTCTTCAAGGCCTCGGGTGTTTTGACCTCGCTCAGCCTCTTCGTCTTCTTCTTCGCTAATTTCAATTTCAAACTTGAACTAATTAACATCTACGACACACGCAGCCATCGCCGAGGATCTCCATCCGCGAGTCACCGAACACGCGAGGTTTGCAACCGCCGCGAACCACCGCCGGCGTCCGTTCACGTTTATCCTCCGAATTGGTTGTTAAAAAGACTTGCTGCCTTCCGTTCTGCATATTTTCAATTTCAAATCAACATCATTATCATGAAAAAGGATAGATTAATGAAATTTAACAAAAAATTATAATGGATAACAAAAATGGATAGATTAATGAAATTTTCCCATCAAACATCAAACCACAAGTAGAAAAACGTATCCAACCGATGGAGATTAGGCGGTCAGCGACGGGGATGACTAGGTGGGCGGAGGCAGAACGGCGAAGAAGCGGTGGGGGGAGGAGAGCAGCAGCAAATTGTAGAAGAAGAAGAAGAAGAAGAAAAAGATGAGAGAGAGAGAGAAGAGAGAAGAAGAATAGAGAAGGGAAAAGAGAGAGAAGTCGTATAATTAAGATCCCATTAAATCTGTTTTTACCATATTTAAAAACAATTATCTGTTACTCAATAATCTAGTATGTTTGCAAATAAATATGATAGTTTTAGTTAATTTGCAAATAAATATATATGGGTTGTAAATATGTAATAAAAATGTTAATGAGTAGTGGAGGATGTAATTTCCTCTTTAAAATGTTGTAGGGACGAAGCAGCAGTCAGTTGCAGGCATGTGTGGGACTGTAGGAGTGTAGGACAAGGCTCATCCCAATTGAGTAGGGCTTGCATTTTTTTTTATCCAAAATCGAAAACTGAACAGAACCGAATTGAGAAGAAATAAATTGAACTATACCGAATCACTATTATTGGTAACCGATTATCGGTTTCCGAAGGCTTATCAGTTTGGTATGAATACCACCTAATATGGGTTCGATTTTACTGAACCGAACTGGTAAGATTAAAAAAATCAATTAAAATAAATATAAACTAATAAAGACCCTACACACTCACCTCTGACGATTTTTACTGAACCGAACTGGTAAGATTAAAAAAATTAATTAAAATAAATATAAACTAATAAAGACCCTACACACTCACCTCTGACCTACACACCATGCAATGGGGCAATGTATATGTTGAAGATAAAATTTGTTTTCATTTTCCAAAACCAAGACCTTTTTTTTTTATTTTTTTATTTTCCAAAAACAAGACCTTAAAAGGTAGATATTGACTATTGAAATTCCAAAACGATATAATGATGAAGAGGCAATAATTAAACCGACTATATCCCATATGAGGAAGCCCACCGGGCCAACTGGCCATGGACATGTGTAAAGGCAGTGAACATGTTGAATTACCTACCCATAAACATAATTCAAGATCAAAACCTTGTCAAATTCCCAAGAGATTAACCATCAGGAGAAAAATTTAAAATTTTTACAAAAATACTTACCAGGTTTCTCAGAAGAAGGTTCTTATTAGATTTATAGTATCAGAGGAAGAGAATGCAATTCTATCAAATAAAGCGCAACATAAGAGGGTGAGTCTAGTTGTACCTTAGTGAGGTTCCATCCAAAAATCAATTGGTGATGGGTGGAGTATCCCACTAGGCTTATATACTAGGCTCATTTTCCCTATAAAATCAATGTAGGATAACTCACAAGTGATATTCCAATAGTTCTTCTTTAGCAGACACTTGTTGCTTTTCAATCAGCCGTGGGAATCCCTCTGTTATATGTCGAGCCATTTTTTTTATTGGGCTCAAAAACCGGTTTCGCAATTCCATATAAAACTGAAACCGAACCGAGTTTTTGATTATTGAAAATTTGTAACCGACTTCAAGTCAGTTCAATTTCGATTCGGTTCGGCATAGGTAAATCCTTATCGGTTCGGTTACTGAACCGAACCCACCCCCAGTGGTGAGTATTATATTGTTGTAATTACATTAAACAAATATTTGTTATTTTTAATTGAAATCTATATCTATATGAAGAGAATACACATTTATTAAAAATAATAGCAAAAAAATTTATGAACATTTAATGCATACCTTATTTGAAAAAATTTTAATATATGCATTAATTGCTTTTATATACACATTTTCAAATCAGATTTGATAAAAGATTTTTTCCTTGAATAATTTAATTAACATCTGTATAATTGATATCCATTATAATAAACTATAATTTGATTTTCTGTGATTCATGTTGATAATATTTTGGTCAATATAAACATGAAAACAAATTTTAAGTCTTAACCATATTGTTATTTTTTTTCACAAATGTAGACTTCGTCCAAAATATTATAAACAATGGTAACATGTGATTTAATTTTATCCTTCTAACTAATTAAGCGAAATAATGTTGGTGAATTAATATTTTTTGATAATATCTTTTAAACTTTAATTAATTATAAATAATTTTTAAAAATTAAAATAATTTACCATTTAAAAGATAATGATCACATCATTAAATAATTTTAGTAATGACTAGATAATCAAATAAAAATATATTAACTATTTTTTACAATTTCAATATGTGATTTATTTGTATATTATTGTCAACCATGATAAATGTTTGTCAATTTTTTTATTTTTATTTGCTCTCATAATGAATTTATTGTAAAATATATATTTATATTGCATAGTATATTAAATAAACAAAAAATCCTTAGGATGCAAATTAGAAAAATCTCTTGGTTATGTAAGGGTTTATTATTTAGCAATTCTAACTCAATTTTTTTTTATTATTATTATGAGAAAATTAAATTCTAAGAAACATGTGTGTGTATTTTGTGAACATTTATACACAAAAAATTATTTTAAATTTTATTACATAACTAAGAAAAAGAAGACTACTTCTATAACTTTTATAATTAATAATAATAATGAGTTTATATGACAACAAAATTATAATAAAATAATAATTGAGTATTATATGGTGAACAAAAATAATTATAATATTTTTATTCTTATATCGATAAATCAATATATATTCTAAAATTAAATTTATATTAGTGTTAGCAGAATAATATATTAATTAACATGTTAATGTTATGGCTACAATAAACATCATTGATTAAAAAGGAGAAAAATGATTATCCAACTTTTTCTTTTTGGTGCTTAAACGTACAAGTCCTACAGAAACGACTTATTTAATATATGTGTCTCATGTATCGCACGGGCTATGCACTAGTACATGTTAATATGAGAAATGAAAAAATGTAAAAAGTTAAGAAACAATGAGTATTAGATGCATACAAAATTTAAAAGGAAGTAGGAAAATAAAAATTGATAGAAAAATATTTTTTATTAACAAATAGTTTTAAAAAATAATTTAGTTCTAATATATTTTCAAAATATCTTTAAATTAAGTAAAAATTCCGACCTGCCGGATTCGAACCAGCGACCTAAGGATTTCAGCATAACCACTACAGTCCTCCGCTCTACCATCTGAGCTAAGGTCGGTTTGTTGTACAAGTACATACTAAGAAATATTATTCCCTATATTTAACAGAAGAAAATAAAAAGAGTATTGCAACTAGATACTAAAGTGCCCACTAACTTTAATTATTTTATTTTAAATATTATTTTAATATACCCACTAACAACTAACCATACCACATTTTTCAAAATTAACCAAACCAAATCAAAAAATTCAAACAAATCTAAAACTTTTTATATTCAAGCATCCTCTAAAGTGCCCATTATATATCATATTAATTGCAACTAGATACTAAATTGCCCATAATATCATTTTAATGGCATAGTGAATCTCTTAAAATTCCAGGAACACTTTATAATAATAACTTTAATATTTTTTAATTAATTTATTGGTCATGATGCCTACCATTTTACTTATTAATTATATTTTGCAATTTATATAGCGATTCATAAATAAGATATTTTATAATTACATTATTTATTTTTACTAATAGTCAAATTTATAAAATGTAATATGCCAATTATTTAACTTATGATTTCAAATATAATATTCGTAAATATGATTATATTATTTTATTTACATCTATGCATGTGCATAAGATTGGATACTAGTTTAAAACTATTACGGAATAGTCCAAATTGCATTCAATGAGAACTAGTATGTGGCGAGTGCGATGCAAAGGAAGCAATAATACAGTCGTATTATAAACTAAATATATATAAAAAAAATTAAACTTCGTTTTATCATGACAACATTCTTTATTTAATTATTTGAACTGTATTATATTTATTGGAGCAAAGTATTTATAATATTCAAATCCATATTTAATTTCAATAATCGATTTGATCCGGTCAAATTGATTCGTAACTTGGTCACCTTAGATGCAACAAAAGTTGTGTCATATTTTTTGATTTTATAAATAATTTGAAATTCGTCCAATAAACATATGCAATATAACCTAATTCAATCAGCATGGTTGATCCAAATAAAATTAACTTTTTCTTAAATATAGTTAGTTTTGTTAAATAAAATAAAACAAAATAAAATATTGTGATTCAATTAGTAATGTTTATAATAAATGATAATGTATTATGACCCCAAGTTACAGAATTAGAGGCAAACTAAATATTTCTTAATTTATACATATTTATAAAATAATAAATGTAATAATTTTAAGAAATCAAAATTAATTAATTGACTATGTAATTCACACAATGACTCGATACCAACATGAGTCAGAATCGAGCATAGATATTATGCATATTTTAGTATTTTTGCAGTATACTTTTCATAAGTTATTAAATATCATAAATGGATGGTGTTGTAACGAAGAAATTGCATGAAAGATATATTATATACTCATTTTATACATATAAATAAAATTCAATAAAATTATAATATAAATATATTTGAATTAAGTATCGATATCATATCACCTAAAATAAATATAAAAGTCTCACCATGATGATAAAGAGAAAATTACCAAAAGAATAAAAGATTAAAACAGAATATTAGCAACCAATAATTTTTTTAGCGGGAATACCTTACCATATTAAGAGATTCCAAACCTTTTTATATATACTAGTATGTATCTCGTTCGATGCATGGGAAAACAATATTAAATAATAATATTTATTATTATTATGTTAACATACATAATTTGTTATACTGGACATGTTAAATCATAATTAACTTTTGTAAAAGTACCTAAAAAATATTTATCAAAAATATTAAAAACACCTAAAATGTTATGTAACATGTGTGCAAATATTAAAATGTTCTATAATATTATAAAAGAATTGTGAAATTACATAAAAAAGTAAAACTATTCTTGAAATATGTCTACAAACACCTAAATTATTTTATACTCATGAACTAAGATTGTTTATGTAAACATTATTAAATACAATTTTCATATATTTATAAATCAAAATTTCTTTAATACTATAAAAAATAAAAGAGGTTTTCTTTCGGGAAAAATGCAAATTTTTAAAGTATCATTAAATGATCTTTTAATTGAACCACTACAAGAATTTTACAATGGACGATGTGTTTTTTACTTCATTTTTTTATTTATTTAAATATCCATGTCAGTTTTTATTTTTAATTTTTAATTTTTTGCCAAACATGAATTTCTATGGTGGTGGAAAGTTGTACCCTGTAAAATGAGACATTTGTGTGAAAAGATTTAGATCATAAGTGATAAAATGTGTTGACATAAATGTGGCCATTTGGCGACATAAATGTTGACAAGATTATTATGAAGATTTTTTAACAGAATTAAATAAAAAATGACATGAACTATAGACGAATAGAGATTTTCGACAATAAATCGAATGCTCGAGACCTTGTTTAATATGTAAAAGAGAAGAATAGAATGCTACTGTTATCACACTACCAGTAAATGCTCTAGAGAGGATAATATTTATTTTCCGAGGTAAATTATTCCCTTTAAAACACAAGGCAATCAATATAAATTTAAAACCACAAAATTGAAGACAATATGTTTTCACTTCAAGTTTCATTACCATGCAATAAACATCATGACAAGTATTCATATGACAGACTACATGATCTAGCAGGTGGAGCATGAGGCCTTGACCAAATTTCAGAGGCTCAAAAGTAAGGACTGTAACGCATGGGTGCTCTAAACCTCGGAACCTTCCTGCACAGGTACAGCAAACATTCATATAATAATATTAATAATAATAATGAAACCAACAGAGACAAAAGAGGGAGTCTTCAATTGCTGTCATATATAGGAAGTTTCCGAAAATTTTTGTCTCGTCCAAAAATAAAGATCGAAAAGTGAAAAAAAAAATATGGAAAAACATGAAATAGTATTGAGATTGTGAAAGATTATACTGTAAAAATGTAATAATTAGAGTAATGTGATATAGAAATAATAGAACTTACAATAATGTAATGTATTGATTGATAATTATGGATGGTTAGAAATATGTGAGTGGTAAATAGTATTTTTTCTATTGAAAAATGTGAAACAATGATTGTCTTTTATTTATAAATTGTGTTAGTAGGATAGTAAAGAAAAACTTGCGACGGGATAAATAGTAAAAGGGTGAAGTAAGCGATTGAATATGGAAAATGTTTCATTATTGTCTGGTCACATGTTATCAAATGGCAACCATAGGGTGGCAGATTTCGGCCAACTAAATTTCTGAAGGATGGTGGTTATGGCGGCGCCATAGGCCACAGAGTTTGGCCTACCGCCATCCATCATTAATAACACTGCAGGTCAGTAAAGATTTATCTTATTAAGTCAGTGAGTTGAAACAAAAATTTTCAGTTTCATTATGTTTGTTTCTCCACAATCTCACCAACAAAACTAGAAAAAATATACACAATTATATATTTTCCAACAAGAAGCATTATTCACACACTGGCATACTTTTAACCATAAATCACAATCAACCAATATTTTAATATTTATAAATCACTCCAACTCTAATTATTACATTTCTATCTCATATTTTCACTATCTCAGTTATCTATTATTTTTAGAAAAAAAATCCACCTTTTTATCCATTTTCAGAAGACAATTTTTTTAGGAAAAGAAAATCCAAAGGCAATTTTTTGTCTATATNTCAAGAAAACAAAAACGGAAATTTCTTATAACCAATCGCTGCAATTTCTAGGGTTTTGTGTTATGCTAGTAAATAGAAGGATAATAACAAAATTGCTCGAAGTCTGAGGTATTAGCAAAATGAAGCCACATAATTTGGAAAATACAGAAAGTATTAAATATTTAATCCTTATATGTATACAAAACCTCAAGGATGTCTCTGTTAATTCAAAGTTAAGTTTTTCTGAAATTAGGCCAACCTCAAAGGGTAGCTTTTGCGATATCCCCAGAATAGGGATCAATCTTTGCTGAGTAAAAAGGCGTAAAAGGACGAACACATACCCATATCCGTATGGAGAATACATGTAAGGAGCAGCTATGAACGGAGTTCTAGCCCGGAAGCCCATATAGGGATTTGCACGCCGAGGCCGAAACTGTTTCATGCCAGGAACATTGGTCCTCTTGGCAGAAACCTGCAAAAAGATTTATTTTATTAATACATTCTTTTAAATAAACCAGAGAATATAGATAATTAGTAACTTCCATCATCGATACGAGAAATTACATAATTATAGGATTTCAGTTGCTCCATAAAAAATAAAACCGTAACAAGATTTAGCTCAACCTTCAGTTGGCGTCCGTGAAGTTCGGACTCATTGAGAAGCAGAGCCTGGTCAACTGCTTCGGTTTCAAGGAACTCAACATATGCATATCCCTTTGGTTGACCATACTTGTTAGTCCTAATAGTTACTCTATTCACTGTCCCACAAGACTGAAAATGCTGCTGCACTTCCTCTGGGGTACACGAATAGTCCACCTGTAAAGCCAAGAAATAGTATTTCACATTATTCAAAATCTCCATATCCAATTGTAAAAATTTAAGCATTGTATTGTCATTTACAGATGAACAAATATATATTACACAAAAACAGAAGCAAGGATCCCAGATAACATATGCACATGCACGCTTGACCATCAAACGCCATGTCAATGCATATAAATAACAAATATACAATCCAGATGGCACCATCAATCTTTTTTTTTTTTNGAAGAAAAACTACAGATGCAAGAGCTATATTTCAAACATAGTAACATTGTTCACGAGTTTGACCACATTCCTTCGATAACCCTCAAAAAGTCTGGAAATTAGAAAACATTTATGTGTCCACAAACAAAAATAGCAAGTAACATCAATAGAGATGAAAAATAATTCTTTAGAAAGGATCAGCTATCCAGTGACAGATGATTGAGTACCAAGGGAAAAAGTCCTCTCTGACAGATCATGAACAAGGACGGAACTTACATTGCCAACAAAGACTGACCGAGAATCCACTTCTTCCTTATTTGTCTGACTAGCTGCAGCAGCAGCAGGATCTGCTGGAATTGAAACAAACATCTGATCATTAGAGATGAACAGGAAACAGTTGATAATTGCCACAAGATAGAATTACAGAACACTGCTTCTTAAGGATAGTCTCGAGTATGCATCAATATAGAATCAAAAGTGTTAGATATTACCATCTCATATCTGATTCTCACTATCCACAAATAAGAGAAAACATACACACTCAGATGGTCAGATATGATGCTCTTCTCATTTTATAGAGAGAGAGGCAATAGTAGTTTGAGGTCAAATTCAATAAAGTACAAAGAGAGGTCAGCATCATACAGCAATCATCAAACCACATTACAATATACAGCTACATAACCAAAAATGAAATCCCCTTCCAGATAGAAATTCCAAAATATTAAAAATTATAGGGCAACCATGTTGATTCATAAAAGTATAACAAAAGAATTTCAACAGAATTAATGTTCTAGGAAAAATTTGGGCTCAATATGAATGTTTAGCTACTCATAAAAGCCAGCTCTATACATGCACCCAGCTACAAACTTTCTTCCTTACTTTTCCTCTTCCTCGTGGCTTCACATGGAAAATAGAATTTTTCTCGAAGAATTAACCTTTCCTTTACCATAACACCAAGTCACACCCAATCTTTAAACAGTTGATCAACCAGTCATTTGATACTGGTAAAAACAATTCTCCTTATAAACAAGAAAATTTGCCCTTCTAAAGTTTCTATAACCAAGCTTCCAAAAGAAATTCAAACTCTGCATAGGTAAGAAATCACAGAAAGATGCAGATCATATCAGGATTAACAGCGCAAATCCTAATCACTAAACAATTACAGTTCCTCTCACACTACACGCCATTGTTTACCCATTGAATTTCCACATCGATATATCATTGTCGATCAAGATAACACAAAAAAAAAGACAAAAAAAATTCAAAATACTCATAATGGCTATTAAATAAATAAATAAAATATCCAAGGGTAAAACCTCGGGGGCTAGAGCGGGATAAAGGGGTAACCTTGGGCGGCGCCCATCTCCTGTTCGACCTTTGCCTGCATTTCCCGAAGAGCTGCAGCTTCATCCTCCATCTCCTTCAGCCTCTTCTTCATGTCGTCTAGCTCCTGCAGAGATGAATAAACATAGGTTAACATAAACGGGTTAGGGTTTTCGATGGTGGGGAAAAAATAAAATTAAATCAAAGAATGTTAAAAGATGAGTTATAGGAAGTGAAAATAACGATGCATTACAACCGCGGCTCCGCTCTCCGCCGCCGCCATCTCGACGTCATCCTCCATCGATCTCCCTCCCGCAGTATTCTCCGTTAGCGGAAAGAATAATAGTAGTTTTAGTGCTTGAAATATTTTAACAAATAGGCTAACGCGAGCATGTTTCTATATTAAAATTTTCACTCCAAAATTTCATTCCTTTCAAAATACACCATCTTACCTAACTCCAATATCTTCAATATTATTAATATAAATAAAAATATTATCCAATCATTTTTACATTACACATACTTTAATTTACTGTCTTTTCTTCAAATTAATTTGGTTAATCAAAAAATCCACTTTAGATTAAATTTTTATATACAAACATGGATGTGTTTGTTTATTAAAAAATCAAATACATAGGACCATGAGTCACTCAACCCGCCGACCCAACCTAGACCTAGCTCAGAACCAGCACGAACACAGCCCAGTACAACTCGTTGACCACGGGTCAGGGTTCGGACCCAGATATACATCGGGCCGGTTCAGGGACATATATATATGTAACATATGACTCGACGGGTCGGGCCAGGGTCGGGCCGTAGGCACGCCCTTTTTTATTTTTTTTATTATTCAGGCCGAATTCAAGCCAATTTTTTACCCTGGTCAAACTCGTGGTCAAAAGGGATCGGATCAACGGTCCGATAATCTGACCGTAATGATCAATTTTTTTCCAATTTTCTTTTTTTATTTTTAATCTAAGCCAGGTCAGGCCGGCCAGACCTGGGTCAAATCCGTGGTCAAAACGATCGACTGTTGCAGACTTGCAGATCAATAGTAAAAAACAACTGACCAATGCAAAATGGTAAAAAATTTAATAAAATAAAAATAAAAAATATTTGAAAAACTGTAAAAAAATCCCCCAAAAAATTCGGAAAGAATAATAGTAGTTTTTAGTGCTTGAAATATTTTAACAAGTAGGTTTGTTTATTAAAAAATAAAATACATACTCAATCTATACATGATCACGAGTCACTCAGCCCACCGACCCTGGCTTAGACTCGGCTCAGAACAGGCACGAAGCCACGAACACAGCCCGATAAAACCGTTGACCACGGGTCTGGATCCGGACCCAGATTTACACCGGCTCAGTTCATGGTCAAATGTATGTAACATATATGATCCAGCGGGTCTTGACATGACTGGGCCGTAGGCCCACCCTTTTTTTGTTATTCGGGCCGAATCGAGCCTGTTCGGGACCCAGGTCAAACTCCTGGTCAAAAGGGATCGGATCAACGGTCCAAAAATCTTACCGTTAGAAATCAACGATCAGATTTTTTCCAACTTTCTTTGTTTTTTTCTTTTTTCATCCGGGCCGGGTCAGACCGGCCTGAGGCTCGGGTCAAACACATGGTCAAAACGATCGGCCGTTGTAGACTTGCATATCAACGGTAACAAAAATAAAAAACTAACTATTGCAAAAGGGACAAAAAAATTAAAAAAATTCAAAAAAAATGCAAAAAAAAAAATCTAAAAAAAAAAAATGAAAAAATCAGATTTTTCTCCCTCTCAATTCTAACAATCTAAGTGATCTTTTTGAGTTTTTGTGCTCGGTTTTTTATAAATCGATCCGGTTCTACATAAATCCGATTCCTATTTTATAAAAAAAACTCTCATTTCGGTTTCGGTTTTATATAATACTCTCTCTTTTTTATTTTCTATCATATTTACACCTCTTTTAGTCTTTTTTATTATATAATTTTCTTATTTTTAAGTTATAAAATGTCGAGTTCTTGTGGTGGTCGTGGTGGTGATGCCAGCGGTATTCCCCCACAAAAGCGTAAAAATGTTTGCAGTGTGCATCTTCGAGTAGTCTTCCATTGTCGAGGCAAATTGTATACCGGGATATCCAGGGTCTACCCAATGATGTTGATTCATAGATGATCAATCGCATATTTCACTCTCTAGATGAAATAGAAGATACCTATTGGGCCGAGGAGCTGCAGGACGACAACGAGACCCAGCCGTATGAAGACGTTTTTTATCCTACTGAATGTGGAGGGGGTCAACAACCTCAACCTTCGATGCTAGTCGGCGATAATAAACTGAAGAAATTGACAATCTTCGCAAGGTATTTTTCGAAGGTGCCCAATCCAGAATTAGGTGACAAACATTTTATACGTATTTGCAACCACTGTCTGGTCAACTCGAGGAAGCAATATGCTTGGAAAACAAGCGATGGTTATGGATTTCATGCAATATCATCCGACCGAAATGAGGATTCTCTCGACTCAAACGCAATTCCCTACTGGGTGTAATGCAGCCTCCGAGAGTGGAACAGGTATGTCTTCAACTTTATATCAATACTCGCATGAAAACCATAGATTTCATCTAGGTGAATTTGTTTTTGTATATCCTCTCTTCCTTTCGGTTTTGCTTATTCCACATTATATGAAAATTTTGCTCAAATGGCTTAAACCCGACTGCTCGACGGGTTGCACATACTAGTCTCACCTGTGGTATTTGAAATATTGTGGCTGAGAAGAAATTAATTTTGGTGCAAACATTTTCTATTTTAGAGCAAAGACTTTTTATTTGTTGCGATATTTTCGTCCGATCCATGGATATCGAACGATTACCTAGGAATTACTTGTTATTTGGTTGATAATTTTTTACCTAGGAATTACTTGTTATTTGGTGCAATCATACTGCTTCTAATATTGCTCGTTTAATTTCACGTGTCGCGACTAGTTATAACATTGGTAAAAAATAATTCTATTCCTTTTGATAATGCTAGTGCTAATACGACATCCATTGGTCAGCTTAAACTAAATTTTAGACCCATTGTGGAGATTTTTTTTTTTCATATTCATTGTATATGTCATATTCTTATTATTTGTGTTCAAACGGGTAATCATGCTTTAAAAGATTCGGCCACGCCCATCAGGGAGGCTATTGTTTACTTATATCGTCGTCCTTTAGAAATGAAAGCTCGAAAAAAATGTTGTGAAAGACAAGGTATTACACCTACAAAATTCCAACCGGATGTTCCTACCCGTTGGAATCCAACTTATAAAATGTTATTAAAAACAAACAAATATTCTAGGTATTTGGAAGTATTTTTTCAAAGTTCTGACCGTAATAATTGTGATGTCTGCGTAACTACGCAAGATTGGATAAATTTTGAAGCAGTAATTAATTTTTTCAAATATTTCAGGATGCTAATAACATACTTTCTGATGTTTACTATCATACATTTGGTCTTGTGCTTGCTCAATATGTAGCCGTAATGCAATGTGGTCTTTTAAGATATTTCTACTAATGATTTTGATAAATACGGCGGAATTGTTAGAGAAATGTTATCAAAATGGTTAAAATATTATTATTACATTCCCGACACATTTTTTGTTGTATGTTTATTAGACCCATCACTAAAAGAATGTGGCTTGCTCAACCAATTTTACAATTATTATGTATCAACTCCCACTTCCCGCAGGAGTCAATCTTGAAAGACCTAACTCATGACATGTCGTTGAGCAAGCACAATAACTGTTTTATGAAATGTTTAGGGATACAATAGTCACAGCGGGGAAAAGTGTAGCTTTTTTTGCTTCTGGGTCTGACGGGTCTTCTTATTATTATTACTGTCAATATTATGGGCCTTATGCGGGACAAACGACGTACCAAGACTCAAAAATATGGGGATTGGTGGTCTTCTTCTCATGCTAGTGGTTCAATCCCATGGGCAATTTGGATTGGATATTAAGAGCTCGATCACTACCTCTCATCGAATTTTGGACTTAACAATGCTCGTACACCAGACCTGCCACTCAAATTCGATGTTATGGATTGATGATAATAAATGACCGACATTTATCCTATTGCTGCAATATAGCCAAGGAGATTTTTGTTATCCCGTCCTCAACAGTGGCAATTGAACAAGCATTCAACGAGTAGAGATATACATTGGACACACGACGATCGAGGTTGATGCCACAAAACTTAGAGAATCAAATTTGGTGATTAGAGGAAGGCCGATCAAAGGATGCAAACAGTCATATTAACTACCAAAGAGGATGTAGAAGATGTTTGTTTCGATTTCACTAGTGTTACCAGAACTGAAGACAACTACGAGACCTACGACTACGACTAAGATAGAGCGTCTGCCGGTTCAAAAAAGAGAACTACGAGGACTTTGATTTCTAAGTTAAGGGATACCCAGACAACTTAATTGAGACGTTGTAAGTTAAAATAACATTTTCTAACCTAAAAAGTTCTTCAACTTAATTAATATTCTAACTTATAATATGTCAACTAAGCCCAAGTCAAATTTTATTATTATTTTATTTCCAAAATGGCCGACCCGGCCCAGAACCAGCCCGGCCCGTCGGGTCATGTACCTGGCACATACCTAGGTAAAAGCCGATTCAGGGTCGGCCATTTGAACCCGCCGGGCAGGGCCGTCTAACTCAATAACTTAACTTTAACTCACCTCTACTATATTCAACTTCGACACAATTCGAGTCGGGCTGGGCCGTCTAACTCAATCCACATTCAAAATATAACTTAACATTAACTCACCTCTGCTATATTCAACTTCGACACAATTCGATAATATTGCGACGTTCTCAAACGACCTAAGATGTCATGAGTGATCTGTCGAGCCTGTTTGTCCCATTTTTGTTGCGTTTTTCGTTATTATTTTTCTTTTCTTTTTCCTCCATATTAGGTCTTTTAGTTGCTTTTTAATTTGTTTTGTAGTTTATTTCGTAGTTTCTTCTATTTTGGTTTTCCTTGTGTTTTTCGGTATTTTTCCGGTTTTTCTCGTCTTTGGCGTGCAGGATGGAAGGTTCGGGAGAATTCATTTTCCATGATAATTGGACCGGGTGAATATGATTAAAGAGAGCACTTCGTTGGCATTACACAGAAAAAAGCGGAATCGAATTCTGATACCAGACGAGCCCGAACGACTCCGAAACGTGAAGTCCCAAGTCCAGCCCCAAGTCCTCCGCGCCCCGCGCCGCGCCGCGCTGCCTGCCACGACCCCGTCTGAGGCTGCATCTTCCAATACCACGCTCGCGGAGAGTCTGCGTCGCGAGACCGCACCCTGCCGCGCCGCGATGCCACCACGACCCGGACTGAGACTCCGCAAGCGTTCACCCTGCCGCGCCGCGAGAACCAGCCTCTTCACGCCGCGTTCTGTCCTCCGCGCCGCTACCAAGCTATCCTCCACGCCGCTGCAAGTCCTCCGCGCCGCGGCACATCCCTCACGCCGTGGCCGAGCTCCGCTATAAATACTTGTACGGGACTATCAGAAAACTCTCATGCACCCCTGGACAGAAAACCCTACCATCCATCGTTTCCTCGTTTCTTATTCATTTTTCACCTTTCTTTCATAATTTTGAACGTAGAACAAGGATTTAAACTCGGATTTTGCTATTGCTTTTGGATTAAAGCTTCTTTATCGGATTCAACGTTGGGATTATCAATTCTAAGATTTTCTTTTGACTTAATCGTTAAATATGAATTCTTGGGTTGTGATTGCTTTTGTTGATTATTCAATAATGAGTAGCTAAATCCATATGCTAGGGATAGGGGATTGATGTTTTGGAATCGATTGTGATTGTGAAGTTCGTTGATTGTTATGCAAGTTGATCTTTTTACAGGGTTTTTCAATTATTTAGCTTGAATTTTGAGAATTGTTGAAGGGTGACACTTCAACTTCCAGTTGTTTCAATTGAATTCGATTAATTCTTGCATGATGTTATTAATTCTAAACGGACTAGTATATTAACCACCCTCTAGTCTAATTTAATCGACTCTTAGAACTGAAAGGGGAGGAGTCGGTCGAAATAGGCTCGCATAAGCTAGGCTTGTTCGTAACTGTATTGCCTAGGCGTTAAATGAATCGTTAATTTGTCGTTCACGTATGTCCTCTTGTTACGAAAAGTTATTGAGGATGAATATCTGAACGGGCAGGTTATTCGAATCACTTAACCCACCAAAATGGATATCCCCGACTCCCTAGCTACTTAAATCCTGCTTGTTTTTCGTTGTTGCTTACTATTCCTATTGCTTTAGTTAAATTTTCGTAGTAGTTGGTAATTAAAAACTAAAACCAATCTTTGATTTAAAATGTTTAGGAATTTTATTTTTTTTGTGTGGTTGAATAAACGTGCATAATAATCCGGCTAACCTTTCTTGAGAGACACGACCCGGTGTTCGAATCTTTTGATTATACTCCGAAAAAAAATTATTTACAACAGAGCCATCATAAGACAAGCTCAACTCACGGAAGTTGCTAGGTAGGTCTACTTCAAGGACCATGGACGCGAGGGACTACTCTTCCTCCAGCCTTAGCTTGCAGCTCCTTGACCTGAGCCGCTAGTGTTACTAGTGCAGTGTCTCGTGGTGGCCTTGCCATGACTGCTGGCCTGGCGCCCATTCTACTTGAACCTCTTTGTCCTCAATCATCTTCTAGGGTTGTGGTTGTAATATAACGGGGTCTAGTTGCCTAGGCTAGTGAACTCGAGCCACCACCTCTGATATAATCCTGCTTAACTCCTCTAGGGTGAGCTTTAAGACCTCCTTTCGGGGATCCTCCTGCGTGCCGGCAACAAACTGCTGTTCTTCGACCTGCTCCTCAAGTTTACTCATCAGATCGTCTTGTTGTTCCTCGTTCTCTATCACTGCGGGGACCACTATTCCTTTATCTTTTTTTCTTATTGATCCACAAGCGCTTTTTTTCCATCTGTGGATCCTCCTAGTGCATCCGCTAATGGAGTTAGAGCTAACTAGGGGCAACCCCAGATGAGTTGGTTGGAGGATTGCGACCATACCGGGAGAGGGCCGAATCCAAGCGGCCTCTTTGGCCACGTGGCCTCCATCTCCTTCTTGAGGTTCTTCTTGGGGTTATCACTCGGCATGAATTTGACTTTAGTAAAGCTTGTGAGAAAAATATCGTTAGTCTCTTATAGTCGGTAATAGACTGCCTCTTTTTCCATAAACAACGTCAATTTGTTGCGTTACTTTTGTCATGAACCGAGTTGAACCGCCTACGCTGTGAACTTATTTTGTCTTTGAGCTCTGTTGACCTGCAATACGCCAAGAGGAGGTCCCAACGGAAAAACTTCTGACGCTAGAGTCAGAACTTTCTCTGCATACGAGAATAGATAATTCAAGGCGTAAAATGCGATATGTTTATGAAGAATAACCTGACACCCTTATATAGAGTAGTTTTCTAAATGCCTAAAAGAGTTCTTGTTAGGAAAGAGATCTAACTAGATCACACTTCCTAACTTGCCACGTCTCTATCTAGGTAAGTCTCCTTGAGCAAGTGATACTTTCCTTCTTACTAGGATTCTTTCCCCCTTTTATTGTACAACTCTTAGGTCCCTAGGCCATGACCACGACCACGACCTCCTGACCTACTTGTTGCAGCTTACTCGTGGTTGGACCTGACCTCATCCTAAGGTCTAACTTGTCCTCAAATCCTACGACCTCGGTCCCCCAGGTTGTCTCCTTCAGGTCGACTAGTACCTTAAGCCCGTATACGAGCTCCTCGACTGGATAGCTTATCTTTGAACATACTGAAGCTCTCTTAGACCGGCCTATCCGAGTTGTCTGCTCAGACCAATTTGCATCACCCAAGATAGAGATTAGTTCATCATCTCATGAACTTCAATACAACCACTCGTCACAAGGAATCAATGAAAAACTAGATCAATTCAAGATTTCAAACAACAGTAGATATGTAGAAGGTGGTTTCTTGTGTAGGAGAGTAAACAACAGGTTCAGTGTTAGATATAAAAATGACTCTTGATGGATCAGAAACCATATCTTGGCAGGGAGGTGGTGGAGGCATTTGTGGGGTTGAAATTTGTTCAAGAATGGTAGTTAATCTTGGCTTGGGAGGATTGGGGATGATGGCTAGTTGGGAGGGGGATGGTGTCATTAGGAGTTGGGAGCTGGTTAAGTTTTGAGTAAGAATGTCTGAAGAATTTTTGTGACTTTGGTCACTGGGATTGGGAGAATACTTGGTTGGTGTAGAGATGGATGCAGAGGGAGTGTGGTTGTTTGAATGGGGGAAAAAAGAGTCAGTGGCTTTTAGCCAATCACCAAACAACCCTTCTATGAGCTTTTCCATAGCTATGTCTCATATTCTCTTACTGCAATTCCTATCCAGATGGCCCAGACAACCACAATAGAAGCAAAGACTTACTAATCGTTCATACTTGAATTGGATAGTGATCTTCTTGTTACCCAGTTGTATATTAGTACACCTGAGAAGTGGTTTGGTTATGTCTATGACCACTAGAAGCCTTAGAAATTTACGTGCCAAATTACCTCCATGAGGAACTGAAACATCTTTCACACCCTTAAATACACTTCCTAATTTGGACCGACATCCGTAGAAAGCTAGTGGAGCGGGATGTTCCAGGCTTGAACCCAAGTTTCGAGCTCTTAAACCCAGGGTGGTCTGCTGAAATTCCCTCTGACCAATCTTTTAGGATTAGGGCTTGATTGTTTACAAATTAATTTACTCACATTCATTTCATACTCAAAATTTAACTCAACTTTAACTCAACTCCACTATCTTTAATATTATTCATATAATTAAATAACACAAATCAATCATTCTTACACATCACATCAACTTTAATTCACTATTTATTCACTCATATAATTTTAACTACCAATCATTTTTAATTATTTATCTCTTATTTTTACAACAAATCAATATTAATTATTTCATTTTAAATATTATTTTAATACATTCTTAAAATCCCACAAACAGCTAACCATACCATATTTTTCAAAATTAACTCTAGTTAACCAAAATAACTCATTTTGAGTTAATTATTTGGTAAACAATCAAGCCCTTAAGAATTGGTTCTCGAATGAAGAGGCTAACCTTGAGCTTCTCAGCATTGTCAGAGAAGATAAATTGAAAGAAGTTCGGACTCAATTCTCTGACTGAAACTGAAGATCTAATCTGCCACATTTGACTGATTGCTCATCTAATTCCAATAATATTTACTTTCTTCTGGCCGATTATCTTCCCAAATAGACTACGGCTGCATTCATCTACACTTTGTTGGATATCTCTCGAATCTAAAGGAATAACTGTTGCTTCTTGTTCTGAAAGAAGGATAGACTCCAATTTATTCAGAAGCTCTTCCTTAATTGAACCAGAGAGTAGCAAGAGAGGAGATGAAGAACTCTTGGAGAACCTGCTACTGAAACACCAAACAAGGCAACCAACAAACCTGGAGAAGGGAAAAAGGAAAAAAGAAGAGACGAGGAGAAAGGTGAGCAAATTAAAGCTGAAAACCATGAGATCCAGCCCCAAATGGTGCAAATAATTCCTGCAAGAAGAAGAATTGAAGTCCCAAATGAGAAACCCTAACTCCCAGTGGAAGAATCAATGTTTGAACCTTTTTTCTCACCATAAATTGATCTAACTAAATGTGGAAATAACTGGATAATAATTAAATATTACTATGCAAACATATGCTTCCTAATTCTGTTTATGTACTGGAACAACAATGTTCGCATATGCCTAGTTTTATTCACTCTGACACCTATAATTGTTGTTTCCCTTAGGTCGACTATGGTTTAGCATTCTTACTTCCAGTTGGACTAGGGGTTCAAGAACCCACCAAAAAGAAGCAAATGACATGTTATTCCAAGTTTAAACTAAAAGCACAATCTCAGATAATATTTGGTAGAATAGTTTAAGCAGTCAAATGGGCTTCGTTCATCTAAAGTCTTATGTTCTTCAAGTATAAATTGAAGTATATCAGCTGCTACAATCGCCAAGTTTAATTCTATGTAAATCTGATCAAATGGGAACTGCAATAATGCAATTGGTGTAACCGCACATTTTATCGAAATTGAGGGCCAAAACTACAACAAGTTGCCTAGTAACTTTTTGTCTGCAGCAATTAGCAAGGCATGAGAATACTGCTGTAAGTTAACAATCAAAAAAGCCTCACGTGTCAAACATGAATGCATCAATAGCTTAAAAACGTCTTTGGGAGACAAATTAGGTAGAGTCAAGAATGTCCATAACTTTGCTTTGCAAAACAAATTTAGCTGGCTGGGAAAAAGTAAGTACAAATATATATTTAAAAANAAAGAAAGTGTCCTTGGCAACATAAAAAATTATGGCTTCAACTAATGAATACGATACCAGTACCCTCAAATGGATTTCCGTCAATCACAGATTGGTAATTAATCAAAAGAAATAACATTCTCATAAACTTGGGGAATTTGACCACAACACATGCTTCATTCCCTAACATAGCATTATAGGTCAATACTCAATGGAACCCATATACTCATATGATGCAAACCCAAATGGAACCTAAATACACTACAACAGTATAGAGAATCGAACAAGCATAACTTCAGTGTAAAGGACATATGAGAGGTATAAACCAAATAATTCTAATTTATTCGTCCACAGTTTGATATCCAGCTAAGGTATCAAGATTTTCCAAAATTCATCAGATTTTGAATGCCTTTTGTATGTCTAATTAGGAATAGTTACTTCCCGCAAGACTTTAGCAGCATCCTCAGGGAGAACAGGGTTTATGTAGCACCCAGTTCCCAACTCAAATCCCCCCACTACTGTTAGTTGGGGAACTATCTGTATAAACCAATGACTAAAAGGCAGTTGCGTAGACTCAATTTGTAATGGGGCAGTGTGAAGCATGAGATTATAAGGCGCGTTGTTCAACTGCAAAGATACCTTCACAAGCATAAGTTTCAAGAGACCCCCGAGGTCGAACGCCTGCCAAGGTCAAAAAGTTCTACATGATTACTACATTCAAGGGAATGAACCAATTTCAAGACATCATTATCATCTTAGGCTAACCCAAAAGGAAAAATAAAAATAAAATAAGAAAAAATTAGTTGGCTCCTTTAAGCATTTTGTTTTTCAGCATAGTCTGATTTCACATTTCATTTCCTTGAAGTAATCCATTTACAGCAACCTGATTCACAGCACCTTCAGAGTCCACTCGAAACATTACATCAGTACAAATTTCAAATCAATATAACAAACTTTCTTTATCCATTCAATTACAGTATAGTCCAGACCACAAACACCATAACTAATGGATGTCATAGAAAAGAGGAAGAGCACATATATTTTACCTCATCATGATCGATGTCATGAAAATGAGTAGAGTGAACACGTGGAACTATCCAAATTTCAAAAGGAAACTTGGCAGCGTAAGGCACAACGGATATAAAGTGTGTGGACTCATCAATTAGTAAATCATCCTGTCTAACTTGGCAGAGGCCACATTTCCCAGTTTCATCAAAATGTTCTCTCATACTCTGAATTCTTGCAGAAGCTGAGGGAGGAATAACTGGAAGTCCCATTATTTGACTGTGTGAGTGGCTCATTGATGCACCAGCCGAGGCACCATGATTTTTGAAAACCTACACACATTTGATTGGATCGAGATAACTATAAACTGTCGAGTACAAATCCTTAACCCAACTAGCAAATCAATTGCTACTTAGTCTTAAAAGATTACATATAATTCAGAAATGATAAGGTACATTTCAGAATTAATCTTTCAATTTCAGTAAACTAATTACCAATGGTAAATGCTTATTGTACAGATTAAAACTATATTTTCAAGCATAATGAGCTAATACTGCAGAAAATATAATGTATTTTCAAATAAGAAAAGAAAATAGAAGACCTGAACATATTTAATGGAATCCAAAGCTCGAAGCTGGTTGATCCTCTTCTTATAAGCCAGTAAAACATCTGCCATCCGAGCCGGGGGAAGATCCGTTAGGTGTACGGCGTGAGATGGGGACTCGATCACTACATCGTGAAACCCGAAACCGGCAGCCGTCACCGGACCTCTTCTGCATTCAATATCCGGTGGTTGCAATTCGCGATTGACCGCAGGGTAGAGGTTCTGGATAACCCGAATTGACCAGTCCGATGTAGACTCTGGTGGAAATCGGAATATCTCCGGCGCGCACTCGTGCTCGTGGCCGGCGCAGAAGGGGCACTCCGTCTGGGTTTTCGCGTCTGGGTTCGAGTCGGGCTTGGCCTTGAAATCCGTTGGCCGACGGGCCCTGGCCGGAGAGAATATCACCCATTGGTTGTGAACCGCATCTTTCCGGATTTCGGAGCTCCGACTCGATGCCATTGGTAGCTATTTCTGCTCGAGATCTCCTTTGTCCAAAAATAATATAGGTACATAATATAATAATATTATATAAGATGTACATAATATTTAGTGGGACCTACAAAAAATAGGCCAGCTAAGAGCATGTCCAATGGTAAATGATCTATTTTGTGTTGTATGGCATGGAGAATGAAAACTAAAAAATTATGTCTCCAATGATTGATGTTAATTGTGGTATCATTTGTGATGTGTAAAATTTTAATCGGTTGAAAAAGATAAATAAATTAAATAAATATGCTAATATACAATAGAAGTTGTCTAGAAAGGCTTCTACATCTAGAAAGCCTTCTAGAATTTTTTCAAGCCACATAAGATTATTTGTGACATGTGGCAACAAAATAGAAAATAGAATGACCATTGGAGATGCTCTAAGATTTTAGAGGCAGAGGAATAAAAAATCCAAATTAAATACACTAGAATTATAAAACTACCAATAAATCTTGAAATGCACATCGACTCTAACTCGGTTAGGTTTTTGAAGTTAATGAACCGGCTCGAATTAAGCCAAATTCACAATCAACTTAGTGAATGCTTGGATACCAAAATCTCAAAAAATTCAATAATTATTAATCAATCACTTTTTTTAACTTAAATTTAACTCAATTTTAATTCAACTTCACGATTCTCAATATTATTAATAATCATTCTTACACACTAGTACGTAGCCCGTGTGATACACGAGGAACAATATTATGATTGTTTTATAAATTAAATATATAAATAACGTCAATCACGATTTGCCCATTGTTTTTAAAATTGGACTGGACCGAATTGTCCGACTGTATGGACCGAAAACTGGTTTATCGACTAGCTCCGTTCGCTTGAATAAAATGATTGCTAGAGAATCGGTCAACACCAGTCGGTCAGACTCGTAGTATCACGGGGATTTTTTAAAATAAATTTTGTTACATTTAAAATTATTTTTAATATAAATAAAAATATATATTTAAATAAAATTGATATTTATAAATTATTTATCCTTTAGTTTTAAACATTGAAAATTTTTAAATTGATTATTTTTTAATAAATTTATTATAAAAAGTACTATAAAATATTAATAATTTAAATTCTGATGCAACCAATAAATCATTAAATAAGTAATTTGATCAGTTTGAAAACGGTCCTCTCCTGAGAACTTTGGATTTACCGTACATTAATAAAGTTGTATTGAAATATCTTAGTTTGTTCTCCTTGTGTTCTTGCTTGTGTTGTTTAAGTTTGTGTTTTTTGGTTTGGGCCATTTGGCCTTTGTGCGCCTGAGTGTCAACTTATTATCCTGTTGGGATCGGACACTCGGGTATTATCCTGTTGGGATCTTGTTTAGTAGTTTCAGTTTTTATTTGTGTAGTTTATTTGCTAGAGTATTACCCTTTTGGGGTCGCTTCTAGGTGGTCTTATGACCTGTCCTCCCAGTTTTTCAGCTGTAGGCTGTTTGTATTCAGTTGGTTGGCTGTTTGTATTTAGCTTGTGACTGTACCTTTGCACATTTGTGCGCTTTTATATACTATTTCTATCGTTTCGAAAAAATAAAATCCTTGAACATGTTATCATAAAAGCATCCTTAACATGATTATTTGTAGTTTGAACTACATTACATTTATTGTAATAAAATATTTTTAATATTAAATTTTATATTTAGTTCAATAGTCGATTTGGTCTGGTCATACTGACCCATAAATTGGTCACTCGGGATCAACCTCAATTGTCATGTTTTTTGGACTATTTTAAATGTCAACTAATATTGAGCATTTACCCAATTCAATCACTCGATTGATCAAATGAAATTTTCTTATTTTGCTTAAATATATGTAATTTTATGAAGTAAAAAATATTTTATGTTTCATGTAGTAAATATTTATAAGTATTGGCAATATATTAAGATCATAAATTATATATCTAAAGATAAGTTACTTATTCCTTACTTTATGCATATTTAATAAAAATAAAACAAACATATTTAAAAATTTAAAAATAATCGATTGATTTTACAATTGTCGCGATAACTCAATACCAACATGACTTACTACATAGCAGAGATATTTTGCATATCAATTATTATGATTTTAAACATATAAACTTTTTCGCTTATAATATATATATATATATATATATATATATATATATAAGTACTTACAATAAAAAGTACCGTATAAATTAATTATGAAAAATTAGCATTTACCATTACTTAATTCTTAATTAATTTATTTTCTACCATTAATTTATTTTTTAATGAGAAATGATTAATACAAACTTTTTAAACGTCGTGATGATTTTATATGTAATTAATATACTGCAAGTATTTGATTTAGAATATTAATGTAAATGACTAATTTTATAATCTGAGATTTATTGTAGAAAACGTAATACCAAAAATTGTTGTCGTTCATTTTTAAATATATTTGCATTTTTAAACAGACTTATTGATGCACAATTATTTTAAAATAATATGACATAAATAATTCAAAAACAAAAAAAGTTGACAATATTTTGGCCTACAGTTTTGAAAATCTATGTGCACTATAATAAATCACAAAAAATAGGACAATATTTAAGCATACAATTTTGAAAACTAAATTTCATGCAAAATGATAAAAGTTAATTTTAAATTTTATTCCAAAAAATATCCTTAATAAGTAAGTCAAACTATTTATACAAAGAGTCAACTTTCCACTTTTGATTTATCCATCAACCTCTTGCAATATATATAGATATAGATTATTACATCAACTTTAAATCAAATTTAATTTACTAATTCATCCGCTCACATAATTTTAATTAATTATCACTTCGTCATCTTTCACTTATTTTTATATCAAATCAACTTTAATTATTTTATTTTAAATAATATTTTAATGTAAACTCAAAATCTCACTAATAATTAACCTTTTCTCTAAAATTAAACAAAGAAAACCAAAAATTTCAAACAAAATAAAAACTCCTTATATGCAATTGTCAAATAAATGAATAAAAAGTTCAAATAGGTCGCAAATAATTAGGTGTGCTAAGGCTTTTGTGAAATACAATTCCTCAAAAAAGTGTCGTGAAGTAAGGTTTTTTTTTTTTTAAATGGGACACGTGTCCCAATTTTATTGAATAATGAATTTTATATATCATATTATATAAATTAAATTATCACTCATATTTTATATTAAAAATAAAACTAAAAATACTAAAATTCACAATTTTTCATTCTCTACAATAGAGACCACATTTGATAGGTTTTAGAACACAATTAATTTATTACTTTTCACAATTAATTTATCTTATTGGAAGATGAAGACGCACATCCATAATAAGATTAACATGTTACATAGTAAGATGAACATGTTACATATTTACACAATAAGATGAACATGTTATAAAATAAGATGAATATGTTACAAAATGAGATGAACGTGTTATAAAATAAGATGAACATGTATTATTTCATTTTACAATTCGTAACATGTTCATCTTATTTGAACATGTTATAAAATAAGATGAATATGTTACAAAATGAGATGAACATGTTATAAAATAAGATGAACTTGTATTATTTCAGTATGCAATCTGTAACATGTTCATCTTATTTGATAACATATTCATCTTATTATGTAACATGTTCATCCTATGTCAGTATAATAAATTAATTACGAAAAAAAAAAATTATGTTCAAAAACCTATCAAATGTGGTCTCTGTTTATAGAGAATGAAAAATTATGAATTTTGGTATTTTTTTTTTTTTACAACAACAACAAGAACATAGTCTTTAGTCCCAAGCAAGTCGGGTAGGCTAGAGATGAAACCCAAGAGAAACAATGGGAAGAGAAACACAAAAAGGGCTCGGAACAAAAGGAAGATGGTGGAACAAAAAGCGAAAAGAGCAAAAGTCACGGTTCTGGCACGTGGATTGCTAGTCTCTAAGTGCTCCTATCCACCGCTAAATCCATGGAGATATTCCAATCTTTAAGGTCTCTCTTAACCGACTCTTCCTAAATGAGTTTAGGCCGATCTCTACCTCTCTTAACATCCTCGACCCGCTGTAGAACTCCCCTACGCACCGGTGCATCAGGAGGCCTCCGTTGGACATGTCCGAACCACCTCAGCCGATGTTGGACCAATTTCTCCTCAATTGAAGCCACCTCAGTCGATGTCCGAACCTCCGTTGGTATTTTTATTTTTTCTTTTAATATAAATCATTAATGATATTGTAATTTATCTAATATGTATCATTTTCAATTAAAAAAAGAATNAAACAAGAAACAAACAGCGGATGAACAAGAAACACACGATAAAGCCAATTAACAGTATCATTACAACCACAAACTGCAGTAGCAGATTTATTTTATTACAAAGCACACGACCAACCTTAACAAATAACAATACAACCACATCTCTCACTCACAAGTTTTACAACTGCAAACCACATTCACACGTGCCACACATGGGAACAAGCAACAACATTTATCAGAGACCCGGCCCGTAACTGGCCCGAATGGCAACCTTTTAAACTGAGTGATGGAAGAAAGCCCACAAGGCCACAAGCCAAGATATTCAAGATTAATCATGAAAATCAACAAACAAAGCCAAAATGAGAGATGAAAAGTGGGACCCTTTTTCCTTTTTATCACCAAAACGCGCATGCTCACAAAATCCATGGGATTTTTTATTCCAATCCCGGGAAAAAAGGGAGACCTTTTTTACTTTCACCACTATATCAACATAACCATGCGTTCAAATCAAATCTGACTGTCATGCTTACTTTTAAAGTCCTCGCTCCACAATAAAGCACTCTTTAAATAATCATCATTTCAACCCAACAATTATAGCTCCAATTTCATCTTCACACCACTTGAGAGTATAATGATAATGAGACTGAGATTAAAAATCCGGTAAAAAAGCTTCCTCATCCCATTAAGCTTGCTCTCCAACTTTAATAAAAGGGTCTCTGAGGCAAAAAGAGAAGAAGAAAAAAAAAAAAAAGCACACCTTCACAACTACTTTCAAAACCGACCATGATTATATCCAAACACGCCTTAATGACTTTCTTGCCACAACCCCAATTGTCCTAACATGCTGTTAGGGGAAAATGACGGATTCGTCCCTGGAGTAGCTGAGTCCAAGGGCTTCGGCTTCGGTTTTCATCGATTTCAAGTAAACAATTGCCTTATCGATAACGGAAAGTGGGTGCTTGACATTTAGGCCCGGAATAATACTCTCCAAGATTCCCATTGCTTGACGGATTTTAACCTTCTTTTCTCTCTTAACCGAATCGGTTTCTTTATCAACATAGGGATTTCCATAAATAGCCACTGATTTATTCAAAGTGCCGTCGAGCAATTTTTGTCTTTTCTGCGGGCCATTCGAATCAACCACATTTTCTGTTTGCTCCTCAAATAATTTCTCTTTAATATTATATCCCTCTTCAATTGTGAATGGCGTGTGGTCCGTGCTCGCCACATCATCATCATCATCATCATCATCATCATATTTATCATCAAATTCACTATCGGAATAAAACAAGGCGTCGATTTCATCACTATCTTCGGGCACATCATTCTCGCCTTCTCCATCACTCAAATGATTTTCGTCCCATTTTTCCTCGAATATCGGGTTTGCCAAGAATTCGGTGTTTACCCCAGCTGCCATTTCGCCAAACGGGCCCTTAGCAGTTGGGGGAAAACTCTGATTTTGGGGGGAAAACGAAGGGCTGAAGAACAATTTCGTCTGGTTTCCTGTTTGATCGAAAATGAGAAACCTTTTCTGCGGGGCCCACAGAGAATCATTATCAGTCGGCTTGTTGTGAATTAACGGATTTTCAGTTGAAGACAACTTAGCTGCTTTTTCTTGGCCTGTGTTCGGAACAGGCAAATTATTTGAAGCAGACTGCCCTAGAAAGGCAGTACCATTGGCAGTAAGCTTTGATGGAGGAAAAAACGGCACATTATAATTTCGATCGTTTTGTAAAAGTGCCATCTGATCTGAATAGGTTATCTTTCGAGATTCCTTGGCTGTAAACATCCAACCGAAGAAAAAGAAAAACCCTGGTAATGTATAGATGGTAATGACAATCATATCAAACTCAGAAAATGATTCGAGGTCACTACCCACAGTGTAAAAAAAATGAAAATAAATAAATAAATAGCCATACCGGGATTATGCTAATGAGTCGTCCTGCAATTAATTTACTTCTTGATATGCTAAAAACAAAAAGGAAGGTAAAAAAAATAGAATCTTGCTAGCTTGATGTGAAAAAACCGGAAAATGGAACCAATCTACGTAACGGGTTTCAGCAAGTGACGGAAATACTCAGCCTGGAAAGAACAGTTAACCAGAGAAATTAGAATATTTTGCAAAACAAACAGTTGAATGAGATATTATAGACAAAACTCGATGAATACAAAATAAGAGACAAACCTGGCAATTTTGCAAAGGTTGAAAGCATGCTATAACTTTGACAATTATGGTAGTTTTCCCAGCCATCCCATTCTCGTGTTTATGAGCCTTAAATCTCGTCTGGCTTGCTGCTTGGCACACCATAACTACTTTTGACAGTTTTTTGAAAAGACTTCAGAAGGAACGCTTGAAAGTTTCGACAGAAGAAGGACAACTAATAAAAGGAAATATGTCCCAGCTAAAAATAGAGATGACGATCAGCTAGAAATTTTAATTGGAAGATAAAATCAACTTGAATGGAGAAAAACTAACAAAGAACACAAGAAAGTTAACTCGAATGGAGAAAATCTAACAAAGAACACAAGAAAGTTTAACTCGGATGGAGAAAATCTAACAAAGAACACAAGAAAGTTTAACTCGGATAACTAAACTGATATTAGTGATAAAAACTGAAAAAACTAGAATAACGGCTCTATATTTTGGAAATTTTATAGAATATAGAAAAAACAAATGAAAAGAGGCAAGTGATTGGATCCCATGGATTTCTGATTAGAAAAGGCTAGCAGAAGAAATGATTTGGTTTCAACACAAAGCGAGCAAAACTTATAGAATAACCCTGCAGTACAAATTCAAGGAAACAACATAGCGAAAAACGTCGATCGACAAGCTCAGCCACCGCATATTTTTTCAAACCCTTATATCCAGCTAAAATTATGGCAACTGAATATCATGCAGGAGAGGTTAGAACAAGCCACCTGAAACAAGAAAAACAGACCTTTTAAAGAGAATGAAATTAGCTATTACTCAAGTCAGTAAATAACAACTTATTAATGTTGCCTGCATATGAAACTCCTTTAACTAAAAAGTAGGAGATATGGAAAAGGGAATACAAATCTGAAGTCCAACAATTCATGTTTCACTTTTATCATCAAGACAGAATAGTTTATTCCCTAACATCTTATCATCTTTGCTTTTATCTGCTCA